GGAAGCATGAAATTTTTGCTGTCTAGTTTCGGATATTGAGTGGAAGTTTATTCATAAGCTGAATACCTAGACCGTCGATCGAATTGAAAGACCTGGCTAATTTATATGTGCGCGCCTTAATAAGTTTGTGTCTAGTGTTGTAGTTTGAGGAGGACGAAGCCATATCAAAAAGTTTTCGAATTGTTTTTGATGAAAGTTAATGTTACCAGCAGAAAAATTGCATGGGGGACAGTTAGAATTATTGTATTTTTAAATATGGGTCTGCAGGAGGCTTTATAGGCAAGGAAAAAATTATTCGAATAGCTCTTTTCTGAAGCTTAAATATTTTAATTAGTTCGGATGAAAACCCCCAGAATTGAATGCCGTATAAAACGTGAGAAATAAAAGTTGCTATAATAAACTGAAAGTAAGCAATTTAAACCAAGTTTGGGTTTTTAGGGTGCGCAACATGAAACATGTTCTAGATAAAGTTGGTGATAGTGGAGATAGAGATATGATCAGACCACTTTAATTATTATTAATAGGATACCAAGAAATTTGATACTTGCGAAAATTATATGCTGAATTATTGATAGTCTTAAAGAAGTAATATTATTTGGTAAAACGATTTTTTGTACAAAAAGATATGATTTGGGTCTTATCATTATTGAGGACTAGATTATTTTCACAAAACCATTTCGTTATTTCTGACATAACCACGCTTAATTTATGTTGTAATTCATTGAGAGATTTGGCCTTGATGATAACGCTGGTATCATCCGCAAAAGAAAAAAAAAAAGAATAAAATCAAAGATTTGTACAATGAGGTAAATCATTAATATATATGAGAAATAAGAGAGGCCCTAAAATTGATCTTGGGGCACTCCCAATGTAACTTGTCAATTTATCCGAAATTATTTGCTCGTGATCGTTATTTAAGTAAACGCTTTGTGTCGATTAGACAGGTAAGATTGAAATAGTTTGAGCGAACGTCCGCGAATACCACAATTTTCTAATTTGTCAAGAAGTCTTTGATGAGAAATACTATCGAAAGCTTTGGACAGATCGCAAAATATCGCAGTAACAATATGTGGCTCTTCGAAGGAGTCAATGATGTTATGAACTAAATTATAAATTGAGTGGGGAAGTGGAATGGTTCTTTCGGAAACCATGCTGATTCTTGAACAAAATATTATATTTATTGAGAAAAGACGTTAATCTAGTATGCAAGATTTTTTCAATTATTTTATCGAAAGAGTTCAAGAGGGAAATGGGACGGTAATTATTTATATCGTCTTTATTATTTTTCTTATGAAGTGGAAAAATCTTTGAATGCTTGAGGTGCGATGGAAATATTCCTTCATCGAAGCATTTATTTAAACATAACATAAATTTATCTATGAAAAAGGGATAGAATCTTTAAGAATAAGACTAGGTATCTGATCCGGACCCGCTGAACTAGTAACTTTTATCGATAGAAAGGTTTGCTTTAGTTTCTCTAAATTTACAGGATAAAGAACGAATGTAGAATTATTTCGCGCGGATAAAGATTTAGTCGAATTAGTGGTGGTCGAGTTGATTGCGCTTGTTAATTTAGACGCTTCGGTGACAAAAAAGTGATTAAATTTATTAGATATGACTACCTTATCAATAATCTTGTCGCCGTTAATTGTAAGACAATCAATCTGTGAAGATTTAGTTTTCGTGTTGGTTTCCGAGTTAATTAAGGACCAAATTGTTTTCTGTTTATTAGCTGAATTAAAAATCAAGTTTTCGTTATATTTGATCTTCGCTAAATTGATTAGATCCTTTAAAGTTGCCCTATATTTCAAAAAATAAATTATAAAAGCCATGTTATCATTATGTACCGATAATCTCTCAAGAAATGCTAATCTTTAAGTGAAATTCTCAACCCTTTAGTTAGCCAAGGAGTTGAAGTATTTTTTTTGGGCAAACGGTTTTCTTAATGAGAGGAAAAGCTTGATTAAAGTTGAATAAAAATGTAGAAATAAAGTTGTCGAACATTGTTTTGAGTCTTTCGACTTGTTAAGCAAGGTCCTTTTCCAAAAGACATTTGAAAATCAATTTATTTGATTCATCAAATAAACGTTTGTGTAAGATAAGGTAGATTTAGAAGTTGAAAAATTACAAAAATTTAATATTATGCCTCGATGGTCTGAAAGAGTGGTATTTATAACACGCGAATCAAAGTCTTTTAAATTGGTGAAGAAATTATCTATAATTTAGCTCCGTACTTCGAAATGGCTGGGCCTGCCTTTGCCAAAAACTTATAGACGCTTCTCCCAATCATTACTAATTGAATGTTTTTTAGATTATTCAAATCGGATACTTCGTTCTCTCACAAAAAGTCGATTTCTATTTTCTGCACTCTTTGCTCCGTATCTCCGAAACGGATGGACCTGCCTCGCCAAAAACTAATCAGCCTCTTTTCCCTATCAATAGGAATCGAATGTTTTTTGAACCATTCAAATCGGTTGATCCGTGCGCCCGAAAACGTGACTGGAAATTTGTATCCATACATACATACACACACACACACACACACATCACATTTTTTTCTGAAGTATGCCAAAAACGTTCACAAACGTCGAGAAATGTAAAATTTTCAATTTCGATTTTCGGCCCATTACAATAACTTACCCTACGGGAAGTTAATAAGTTTATAGTAAATATATTAAATAATAAATAAATAAGTAATAAAATAGCTAGTAATTAATTAAATTATATTAAACCTATAACATATTGACTTAAACCTTATTATGATATTATTATACCTAACGGCTTGTAAAATAAATAAATAAAAATCGTCATTGATAA